GTTGGGCATGTCCCCTAGGATCTTTTGCAGCTTCTACAGCTGCATCGTCAAGAGCATCTTGACCAGCTGTATCACTGTCTGGTATGGCAGTACAACCACTGTACAGGGAAGCACGTTTCCTAACTGTGCATATGACAAATAAACACTTTGACCTTTGACCATTGCATCTCAACCTTCAACTATTTCAGCAAAAAACTTCAGCCATTTCTTCTCATCCTTCAGCTCTTTCAACATTTGATTTCAGGCATTTTCAGGGCAATCCTTCAGCATATCAGCATCCACATGCATTTTTGACAGGAAATGCATTTCTCTAGTCTACATAGGAGGTGAGCTCAGGAGAAGAAGAAGAAGAGAGCACATGGGGAGACATTTGGGAGTCCATTTCTTGGGCAGTCTACAGGGGGATACCAGTATGTGCATACTTCCCCTGCTATATATGTTTATTTGCACAGCACATCTAAACAAAAGAGAAAGCAGGGAGGCCACTTCAGCCTGATAAAGGTTACATTTCCAAACCCAGGGAAAACTGCTTCCTGGCTAGCTACAGTTTGACTATAGAATTTAATTCATCAAGGACTAGGAGTGACAGATGATTATACTTCCTGATACTGGTCTAATCCTAACACAGCTTTCCTACACACCTCAGATTTTTCAGGTGTCATTCAGTAAAAGTATCCAGTTAGTGTGATAATAACTGTATAATGGTGAACAAAGCCATTACATATTATCAACTTAAAGAACAAAAGCATTTGTGCCTACATGAAAGCAAACACCTCTCTGAATCAAATGCAGTAAGCAAAGTACTCCCATTAATGGACAGTGCTTGTAGCTAAGAATGAGTGGTCAGCTGTAAATGGGCAAGGGCCTTTACATTATAGTATATGCTCTTACACTCCAAAGGCAGACCTCAGGTTTCCAAGAATAAAAGTCTATTAATCTAACAATCAATCTGAGCACCTGCAGAAAGAGAGGGGGACGTGTGGTGAAATTTATTAACCCCTCAATTGTTTGAAGTGCTATTTCATCTACAAGGGAGGCACAGATGAATACCGAGTGAGGTTTTTCAAAGTCTCCATTGAAGTGCAGAATCTAGGTGAAAATAACTTTGAATACAATGCAAATAATATCCATAGAGCTTAGTGAAAGGCAAAAGATTTATGCAAATGTGGCAAGTGTAACAACACAAGCAAGGTGAGGCTGGAACATGGCTTACAAAGGGATGGCTCGTCTCCAAAGTGGGTTCTGGCTACCACGAAGGGTCCAAAAGCACAATGAGGCATAGTTTTCTTTGCCATTATCTGAATCACTGATTCAGCAGTAAGTAACATTTCCAAGGACTAGCTGTTGCTGACAAATCAATTTACAGAATAAACATTATGACTCCAGATAATTTAAATTTTTCATTACAGAAGCCACCATTGTATTGTATCACTGTACACTATGTGAAAAAAGTAATCCGGTGCTAGCAAAAAGAGGAGGGCTATCATGTTAGTTTAGAAATGTCTCCTACAGGTGTGACCTCAGTACGTCACATTAAAACTTTTGTTTTCTAAAGCAGATCCCAGAACTGTCCAACATACGTTACCCAACCAGTAGAGACTGAAACTGGGAGGACATTAAACATAAAAGTCTCATCCTACTGAACTTTTTAGAGATGTGTATGAATGTCTCTGATGCTGTCTGTATGTGTATATTTGTGACTGGCTGTGTGTTATCACTGGTTTTATTTCTTCTGCTGTAATCAAATGTTCTTGCAAAACAGATCTTGATTTCAGTGAGATTACATATCTAAATAAACACTATTACAATTATATAATTTTCAATAACATTAAATTAAATTAATCCTAATTCATTACATTTATCCTTCTGTAAAAGGATTAATGCTCTTTTTCATGCATTCAAGTCCAATAACTGTGATTTAAGGTTCTCCTGTGGCCCTTTACAGAGCTCCAGGGCCCTCCCAGAAAATTCTGTCCACAAAAATATCGCAATTTGGGGGTGGAATGATCTTTGTACTTCTCACTATTATTATATCTTACACAACCCAGTTCAGATCCGAGTCAGCACTGAATGAAGTAGCCTGAATGTGGCCCAGGACACATTTTGGGGCCCACTGATTTGTTAGTCTTTAAATTACTATCAGTATCAGTGGTACTTTATGAAACTGTCAGTGAAAGCTACTTACAGAGAAACGGTTTTGTTAGGTAAGAAGCTGGGCTGCAGAGTGTCCATCAAGTCCACATCATCACACACCACTTTGACTCGGATGCGCTGCCTGCTCAGCTCCTTGGACCTCTCAGCGGAGCAATGACAGCTGTCAACGATCAGGTCCGGACAGTTTCTGTTGCCCAGGCTCGACTCCCACAGCCCGACTATTAGGTACAGTAGATTCAGCGCTCTCATGGTGGACTGAGATTCTTTTTAAATACACGCTTCTCTCAGATTATGTCCACTCGGCTTCGGTGACAAGACCATTTTACGTTGCCTTTAGTTACAATAAAGTAGCCCAGAACCCTGCTCCGTTCCAGAGAGCAGGAAACTTTCGACACTACTTTGGCGAAATTGAAATTAAAGTCCCACATCCGAGGTGTGAAACGCTGAGTCGTTCACATTTTCTGTTGTTTTACGTTCTTCAAATTGTCTTCTGTGCCGTGGCATGCGTAGGCACAAAACTTGCAACGGCGTGCTTTCCAAGTCAGGATAAACTTTACTGCGATACATCCTTTCCGACGAGTTGCATAAATCAAGTAAGAATTTGTCCCTCATGACCCACTTAAACTCTTTCTTCTGTCTGAGCTACTGCACGCCCTATTGTCACTCACTCTCATCATGCACTTCTTGTGCATTTCGACCTGTTGCGCATGTGGTGTCCAGAAAGTCCCTCCCCGCTGGGACCTGACAGGCTTCAGTGTGGATTTCATATCCCAAACATATACAGTAGACCACAGCGTCTTACATCAATAAAGCACAATTAAGTGGCCATTTTCTTTTATTCCTTTTATACAATTGTTAATTTTAGCACCAGAGAAAGGGAGTCAACACTGATCCAAACAGTCACCACTGGAGGAGGAAATAAACCTGAAATGAACCTATTTATCTATGGTGCCAGGTGGGCCCCACTGTTAGATCTGCAGAAGTCTACAATGCATTTGTGTCAGGCATAATTTCCTAAACTCAAAACATTTAAACTTTTTGATGAAAAGTGTTTGATTTATTCTCTTCATTTTCTCTGGAAGAGCTGCAAATCTGTTATGGTTAGTCCCCCTCACCAGGAGGGTGAGGGAGAACTGGGGTTGGACTCAAGATGGCTGACCCAGGTGCTAGTACAAAAAAGGTGGTTTATTGGAATAAATACAACAAAGTGACAACATAACAGGGTCCATAATACTTACAACCAGGGAAGGGCAGTGATAACTAAGGAGACCAGGACGAAGAGGTTGTTAGGTAATTTCTTAGTTAGATAGATATTGATTAGAGATCTGTTGTATTAGAAGATGTTAGTGTAGCCAGGATGTCTTCCTCAGGCTGTTAAATGCAAGGTTAGTTAAAGCAGAGAAAGGCTGCC